AAACCCACTTGATAAAATCTTTCGATGTATGGCTCATTCAGGGTTGAACTGTATAAAGAGTTCTGTCTCAAACATTTTTAGCGGTCTTTTGTGTTTTTTAAGGTTGTACAAGACAGCATAATCATAATGCAAGTAAAAATTTCAGAATCATTCTGAATCTTCGTATCTTTGTTAATCGTCTTGGTTTGTCGTTTTTTTTGGCATATATATCCTCTCCGGGGTCAAAATTTGGAATAGATCAGGGAAATTTCAAACTTTCAAATTTCTAAGCTTTTAAAATCGCATTAATTATATATATAAAGATTAACAACTGCACTATCTCCACCTTTCTTCCAGTTCAAGAAACCCTAAAACCAACAAGTGTCAGCCAGTATTGTTTTAAAGATGCCTGGAACAAGTGTAAATAAACATTGTTCTTTCTGAGCAAAACAAAACAATATAAATTCAACTTACTTATTTAATAGTATTTCAAACATTTATACATCATGTATTTGTATCAAACTAGTAAAAAGGTGTTTAATTCATCTGTGTTGAGTAATTTTGACGCAATAGTTTGCAGAAATTCATTGTTTAAATACAAAAATGTTCTTCTCTAGAAATTCCATGAAATATATTCATACAAACGTAAGATAAAATAACATTTTTGAATTTTTGACTTTTTGAAGGATATATCGAATCGAGACAGGCAGGCTCATAGTAACATGAAGTGTTAATATTCTTATGTTGATCTTATGTTTCCTTTCAAAGTATTTCGAATAACTTATATTTACGGCTCTTTAAAAAAAAAACTAGGTTCTATTGGTATCAGAGCTAGAGATGGACAAATTCGAATTTTTCATTTCGATTGTTTATTTTTGTTTTTTTTTCCGTTGTTAAAAAAAATTTTCGTTCATTTTCCATGTATTTCGTTCGTTTTATCACTAAACGATCGTTTAGTAAAATCGTTTGCTAAGTAAAAGCGTTCGTTCAGAAAAAAGGGTTTTTTATCTTTGGAAATTTTGTTTGCTCAGTTTTTCATAGAAAAGTGAAAATTTAAATCGTTCGTTTCTTGGTTTTAAAAATTAGATCGTTTTTTTTCATTTCTCTGACCGATCCATTAAGTTCGTCCATCGTTCGTTCTTTTCTGAACGAAATTCTTTTTCATGAAAAATTTCGTTAGTTTTAATCGCGCTTTGGTCAATTATTCAACAATTTTTAAACTTACGCGAGGAATTGTATCTTAATACTTTTTCAATTAAATCTCATGATGCATGATGCATGATGCATGATGCATGATGCATGATGATGCATGGGCAAAAAAGTGCTATCGAGAAAATACGAAATAAGGTGTTTAATAGGTAAAGTTCCAATTTACAACAGTATCCCAATTCTTCAATGATGATGGAATTATCTTTGTTATTCATTTTGAAAATTGATTATTTTGCAGCAGACACAATAAAGGAAATCGAGAGAAATTATATCTTTTAAAGTCTGGTGGAAAAACGACGATATATTCCTAATTGTTAATCTGGTTTATGGACTACAGGGTACCGTTGTGAATTGGGTATGGAACTCTAATCATGAAGGTTCTCTTGAAATAACATTTACATAATAAAGATTTGAAGTTCAAAAGTTTCAACCTCTATGTTAACTATAAAATGACTTGATATTAAAGTATTTAAGCAATTACGATAGATTAATTAAATAAGCTGTCTTCTCTCAGAAAAAAAATGGGATTAGAAAATGCATCAAAAAAATTTGTTTGATCTCTAGACCTTAGTGTGGAAAGCAGAGAGTTAGGGAAAATGAACAAAAATTATTTTGTTTTGTTTTATAATCTTAAACATAAAATGGAAAATGGACGTTTTGTAGCATGACATTTACAAATTTAGAAATTGTGTTTTACAATATATATATATATATATATACATATGTATATATACATATATATATATATATATATACATATATATATACATATATATATATATTTATAGCAAGGAGCTTTATTTTTTTCATTCCTGAACTTCTTCATTGTATCAATGTTGATTTAGAAACAAAAATATGTGTAAAATATTACAATTTGTTTCAGCCTGGAGGCCCAAATTCTTGGGGCGATAAGAAAGGTTTTCTACTACAGGGAGAACCAAAAAACAATAAAAATACAGACGCTATTAAAGCAATGTATTTGATGCTGTTTCAAACCAAATATATTATTGTACGTTCAAAATATATTTAATTGTTTATAAATGAGAATGGAATTTTTTATCTGATGATGATTTTCTCATACTTATGAGTTTAAACTAGAGGAGCTACGAAGTCACAAAGTCGTACCACTAAAAATTTGTCGTTGCAGTGGATCTTTATTAATACCCTACCAACCTTTATCAGATGTGCAATTTCTGAATTTAAATATATTTGGGCTTATTTATTGCTCGCCGCTACCTCTTAAATCAGAAGAATTGTGGCCACAGCTCGAGTGAATTTGTTTTACATCCTTAAAAAATGAAGATATCGTCCAATTTTTTTATTAAATATCTCCATGCGCCCTGACAGTATTACTGGATACACCCCTGACAGGTGCAGGTGCAGTTTGGGCGTAATCAACGAAAATTTACAGCTAACTTCTCCTGAACGCATTCTACAATTTTCTGCATGAACTCCCTGATATATTTCTCAAGCAAAGGAAAAAATTGCAAAAAATTGGATCTGGACAGAGTTTGTGGAAAATTTATGGAAAAACTGAAATTATCACGAGGAAATGATATAATAGATCTGAATTGAACTTAGTCTAACTAGTGCAGACCAGTCCTTCTTGTTCCAGTCCAACCAACTCTACCTATAGTCCTTCTTGTTCCAGTCCAACCAACTCTACCTATAGTCCTTCTTGTTTCAGTCCAACCAACTCTAACTAGTATTTTTTCTCTCAATCCAAACATTAAACATGGATCACATTTGTTCTTAACATTTTAATTGAAAAGCACACTTTTATTTGTTAAACAAACATCATACTGTAAAATGTTGAATACTGTGTAGTAAATAATAAGCATCGAAAGGTAAACTTAGCTTCACTTCAAGCTTTTATTTATATATCTAATTATAATTTGATTTAGGTTTTAACCTAAAGGGACTGTAAGCGTAATTTCAAATAACCTTTCCTGCCCGATTTACAACGGTACCCTTGTGATTTGATAAAAATGTGAAAGATTTCGTTGGTTTCCTGACTCGGAAAGTGCATTTTGGGGAATTTCTCCATTGCTTCTATTAGACGAGAAATGCGCAAATCATATTCGCAGAGAAACCGCAACAGAAAATAAGCTTTTTAATGAAACAAAACTTTAACAAAAAATTCATACTTAATACCATTTTAATTTGGGCTTCTCCATATTTGCATGAAGGGTCATTTGAAAATAAGCTTATAATCCCTTTAAAGAAAAGAAAACTGGAGAAAACCGAATCCCAATGGCAAAGAATGTTTGCATCCTAATTGAATAAGATCTGATCATCAAATATTACAGTAAGAAGCAAAAAACTTTGGAATAACAAGTCGACTTTGGGACTCAAAGAATGACTTTAAATAGTCCAATAAACATAAGACACATCAACTATCCAATGAAAACAGACCCATTTCACTTGTAAGTGCTTTTATAAGTATATAACGGGGGGGAAAATTATTGCTATATAGTCGTCTTCCTTTTCCGTAGTTTTCTGCTTCTCACTGTACTAAAGGTTTAGCCAAGGCCTTCAGAGGATAAGAATGTAAACTCTTCTGATATGACGGTCCAAAGGCTAAATTACGTCTTCTGCCTGGAATATAGCCTTACATTACCTTACCAAATAACTGTTGACATAAAATATAAACAAGTTTATAATTTGCAGGGAACCATGAATATAAGAGAAAAAAACAGTTTGCAAATTCCGTACAGTCGTCTCTGAAGTGCCCAGTGCACTCCTTTGTAAGTAACACTGCAGTAATAAAACGTAGTTGCATGTGATTCAAAATAGTCCTTGCAACATTAAGGGAAAGAAAGGAATTTGATAAATGTCAACTATTCCGAAGAAAAAAGTTATTGTAGAGACTTAAAATAGAATTATTTATAATTCAACTCCCAAATGCAATTCTAATATCATAAGCTTAAGTAAACATTGAACTTTTTACGAAAAAAAAATTTTTTTTACATTCATGTAAAAATCTTTAGGGTTGGTTTTGCCTACTAGCTTAAGTTCCTGGATTTGCCTGTCGATTAAAAAAAAACACTTTAGGAAAAAATGTAATTTTGAATAAAATGTTGATTAGAAAGTGCGTCGGATTTTTCAATGCCATTAAGAGACAGACGACCTTTCATTATCAAAATTATTGTCAAATAAAACAGACAGTGAGGCATTTGCCCAGAAAATGCGCAAAAAATAAATCCAGCTCACATTCCACGTTGTAGGACCGCGGCGTAGGAGTTACATTTTTTAAATAGTTTTGCTTTGCAAAGCTAATGGTTACTAAAAAAAAGATCCAACTCCTCCTGCTAAGATAAAAAATGAACGGGATCAGTTACAACTTTTTTTAACTGTTGAAAGCAGAAGCCTTGAACTTTCAGTTCAGCAGTGTAGTTAAAGGGGAGGAGGAAAATTTGAAAACTTAACACTATACTTTCCAGTATTTGTTATTTAACAGCTTCCTAATTATTTACAAATGTCAATGGAACATATCAATTGCTCTAAACATTAGTGTTAAATGGACAAGATATTTTTTGTATATTTCAATTATTCAGGGGGGGGGGCACACCGGACTAACCAGAGTGAGCAGCATTCGGTTTCTTCTATTTGAAATCAAACGTGTTTTGGTCTTTAATTCAATAATCATTTACTTTACGGATTTGTTTATTTTATACATTTCATTCAAATTGCATACGCCAACAAAAAAAGTATTTCTAAAAAAAAGGCTAACAAATTATGCTTAATGGGTCAAATTGTGACCGAAAGTCACAGCTTTCTGGAATATTGACAGAACCGTTAAATCCACGTGGGGGGGGGGCGGATAGTAAACCGCCCCTGAGAACTAAAGTCCATCCATAATTGATTCCTGTAAAAAAATGATTGATGCAAAATCATAAGGATTCCCTTTGAAACACTTCAAACAAGGTTACAAGTTACAACACTAAATTATCAATAATGGTTCACTTACATTGAAAATTCGTAGAAAATAAAATTGAAATTTGTTTTTTTCCAATTGTCCATAGTATGTAGTTGCGGCGTGATATTGAGGTAGAAATAAAGAATGCGAAGGTCGACTTCAGGTCAAAACTATTCCGCTTTGATACATTTACATTCTCTTCCGAATAGGAATTATAATTGAACGGAACGGGTAAATATGAAGATTATTTTTAGGTAATCCAAATATCTACATAAATTATCAATTAATAGCTTGAGAACCCAGCCTTGCATTCCCGTGATTCTCCCGAGTTCCCCTATCCAAATTTGCGGCAAATCGTTTAAGGGTTTCATGACATAACAAACAGACAAACAGAGATTACAACTAGGTTTATATTTAAATATTTAGTATATCCTGTAATATTAACTTTTAATTCTTGAATCGAGAGCATATAAAAAATATATTTTGCTTAGAAAATGGGTATCTTTATTGTATTTAAGTGAATTGAATAATTATGAATGAAAAAGGGCGCAAAGCATTCATCATTTCTCATATCATAAAATCAGTTTCAACTCTCACCTTGGGTTGAACTTTAAACAGGTGTAAAATTAGTGAAACAAGGCTTAGAATAACATTGTTAGAATCTGAGACCAATTAAAAAGTGTTTACTGCGGTCTAGACAAATAAACGTTAATTCCTTCTCATTCTATTTGTGTGTGTGATGAATCCGTGTCTAGATAAACATTGATCTTTTCCTAGAAAACGCTAATTGGACCCCCCCCCCCCCTCCTCCTCCCAATCAGTTTTGTTGTTAGGCATTTTCCCAAAGTCTTTTTCCCAACCAGGCACTTCCCATGGGTATTTCCCCATGTGGAAACTTCCTAACTCTACAGTTTCCCAAGTAGCAACTTCCCAAGTCTATCCTAACCACAGTGCTCAGCCCTCTAGCCACAGCGCTCGGCCCATTGCAGCCTGCAGCGCCTCAGAAGGCCTGACCTATTTTTTTGGAAGATGCCACTTAGAAAATTGCCACTTGGGAAGTCGCCCTTGGGAAAATGCCTTTAGTAAAAACCTAGCACCTCAATTTTGTACATATGTATCTTATATGCTTCATATGGGCAAAGAATTGGATCTGTGGCCAAACGTCTGCTCTAGCCCCTGATCGAGACTGCCCTACTGCAATGCTTGCCTTCAGTCTGTCCTGACATTTTCTAAACCCAACCTTACCTTTTAAGTAATAATTATACATATCATCAACATTCTTTGTTGAAGATAGTGAAATTCCAAGTCTACTGCATTTGCAAAATTAATAAGAGGAGGGGGGATTAGTTTAAACTCTTCATAATAGAAAATTTGCAGCTCGATGCCTGTTAGTTTTTTTACCCTATTTATAAGGCTGGTTTACCCAAAATAGTCGTCTATTTCCTTATTATGATACAAGTCTTTAACATTTGATACACTTTTGGAAATTCCTTATATTCTACTTTAATAATCTACAATCAAATTAGCAAATTTGCTAAATTTTAAATATTTATTGCTATATCAAGATATTAAGCAAAAATGTGCAAAACAAAAGATGCGAGAAATATGATATATTTTACATTTTTGAAAAGCCCTTACCACTGCAAATATGCAAAAAATTTCATAATTGTCAAAAACAAAATTTTTAATTAAGGAAAACTGAAAATTTGCAAATTCTCTTTAAAGGCATCTGTGCAAAAAACAATGCAAAATTTCTTCGCAAAAATTGCGCAACCTGCTTTCTTTTGTTCAAGGTTTTCCAAAAAGCTATAAAGTAAATATTTATTTTTTGAAACTGAAAAATATTATTATTTCTAAAATCAGTGTTTAACAACAACAACAACAAGCGCTTTTTCTAGATAAGCAAGGATAAGTCTATCATCCTTGTTTAGGTTCAAAGGGTACTGTTGTAAATTGCACATGCCACTCTATTCATGGAGGGTCAATTAAAATTAAGTGTACACTCCCCTAAAACAATAAAATCACTTATAATTCAAAAACAACCCTTCCTTTAAGATAAAGTTAAATGATAATAAAAACCAAGTTATGATCGAATAAAATAGAGGCACTCTCTGCAATTAATGTTGACAATGTATGATTTAGTGACCTATCTCTTTATCTGCACTTTGTTTAGAGACCTTGTCTTCTATCTATTTATAGTATAAAGAATTCAAATAATTTACAGAAACCTACCGAATTTTTTTTTCAATAAAATTTTTTCTATAAAGACTGAAAGGTTTACGAGTATTTAATTAGTTTTCAATATTTATAGTGAAGAATTATCAGCCTTAATCCTTAGGATCAAAGTATAAACAGTTTTCAAGAAGGAATGTTGATTGAACTTGATTGCTTGCATTTTATCCTGATTCTACTCTATACTACTCTTCTACAGTGGTCCCACAGAAAACAATTTAAAGCGTAATATCTTTAATATCAATCAAAAATAATTTGTTATGCTGTATTTTCTATTTTGCGAACAATCGAAATATTACTAAAAGTTTCTTTGAATTTAAATAGTTCTTGCATTTGTGGACCAATTTATACCGTCTAGTTTTCTATTCTGCTATCTATATATATGTATACTTTGCTTGTCTGCTTGGGTGTCTGTTTTTTTGTATCCATCCAATAAACGTCAAAACGGCTGAACCGATCTCACCAAAATTTTGTGTGGAACTTTACAGGGAAGGTTTTTGGATGATCATATTTTCAAAAATTTGCCTCTATCAAAATTTGATTTTAGAAAATTTTAAAAATCCACTAAATTAATTTTTTTATATAATCCGCGAAATTTTTGTTTTTGTTTTAGTCTATAATGTATACAAAAAGAAAATGTTCACAATTGAAATAAAAAATTGGCGCGAAGCACTCTAAAAGCTTAAGTTTCATATATTTATTTTCTTTTCTTAAACGACCTTTTGCCTGCTTTATATTTAGGACAGGTTTGACATAAAAAGCTGAAAAGTTTCTATTTTGTATTTAACAGCGCTGCGGCTAGGATGGGCTAGGGGGGCACAACTCTGTAGCTAGAACATGCTAGGAAGTTGCCGCTTGAGATATTGGATATCTGGGAAGTTGCAGTTTGGGAAATTGCCTTTGGGAAGTCCCTAACATCATTTTATGTGACCCTCCATTTATAGAGTGGCATGTCAGATTGTCTACGGTACCATTTTATCCGTCATCTGAAAAATTTAAGAATTAAATTGCACATTCAATTTTTTTATTTGACCCAACATAAAACCTTTTTCAAAATACACCATTTCTATTAAATGAAATCTATGAGAAAATGCATATTAATTATTAATAAAATAATTTAGTAGTTTGTATTATTTTGTAAACCTTTCTTCTAGACCTGATAAATTCTATTTACCTTTAAAACATTTCATTAGTACACTAACTAATCTTTTAGAATTTTAATCTGTTAATAAACTTGATGTCGCGACCATTTTTAGTTCTTAATAGTTCTTAATTTCCGAATATTTTTTTTACGAGGAAACTCTTTTCTGTGAGGCTTAAACAGATTGACATTTAAAAGTTTATTGATTTCACATCAGTATATATCAGATATATCACGCATTAAACATCAACCATGCGGTGTAATTGTAAAAATAATATGTACAGTTAAACCCTGAATAAGCCATACATCAAAAGAATTCGTCTAATGTCGTATTCTTCACTTTCTGAAAATGGAATGTTGCAGATATCTAGTTTTTTAATTAAATGATTATATGGAGCTCTTTAAAACTGTTCCCGCATATTCATGACTATATATTTATTTTCGCAAATACTAAGATTTACGTAAAATAGTATAAAACCCATTAAAAAATGTTCAAGACGACGTTTGATAAATTCTTTCGATGTTTGGCACATTTAGGGTTTAACATTATAAAATTAAAAACATTCCAGACTTTTTATTTTTATTATTTTTTCTTTAAAACTTGTAGAAATTAAATAATGTTGAATTTGAATTCTGAGCAAAGCATATTCTTTGGTTTGATACTTTTGGGTCATTTTATTCTAATTCTTGGAGTTCTGTACATGATATCTAGGTAAACAGTTAAAGTACAGTTCTGTACATGATAGCTAGGTAAACAGTTACAGTACAGTAATGTAAATCACAACATTGTACAGCACAGAAATATGTATTGTGAATATGCAATTTTACATTATATTAAGCTTTTAAACAGTATAGATACATAAAAACATGAAAAAAGGGAAGCTGTCAAATCGAAAATCTTCTCTCTAATTACTTGTGAACTTCTAATTTGAAAAAAAGCTTGTTAACAAATAATTGATATAACCGTAGTTCTCACTGCATAATTCATTTTGATTGGTAATATTTTCAAATTACAAATCCTCTTAGACGTCACTAAATAAACGAATGTGATTAATAAATTAGATATAATCAGATTCAATGTTTATAAAATATATATCAGATTATCCTTTACTGAAATGAAAGTACAGGTTATGGTCAATTTTTTTAAAAAAATACATAGACATGCTTTAAAGAAATCATCGTGCTATAATGTTAAATAAACCGTTTTTTTATAAGTTTAGATTATTATAATATTTAGAAACGTTTTTTTTAATGAAAATGAAATTATAATAATTATATTTTATTTTTAATTCTGCTCTGTAAAAAAGCTTAAACATGGAAATAACTTTTGCATCAAGACAAGTAAACATACATTTTATTAATTACCTGTAATATTATAAAATTTTATAAAACTATTGTGTGAGCTGCCATACAAGTTTAAATGTACTCAGCTGTCATCTCTGTGTTAGCTCATCCAATAAAGTCCCTCATCTGTTCTGAGTTGGCGCCTGCAGCAGCTACTGCAGTATCTGCTGAATATACATCCTATACACATGGGGTGTCCACTGCCCAGCTGTAGTCTCTCCGCAATATTAGAAGGAACCTTAGTAACCTATTGGGTTGTTAAGGAAAGATTTTGCATTTCCAGTCCAAAGAAGACGACCAGTAAATTTTCCCGAGCTTCTCTTTAATGGTTCCAATGTATTGGTTAACTATATCAGCACTGCGGTCCTAGGGACCAGAAAACTTTTCTGGGTTTTTATGAATTCTTTACTTGGCCCATGAATGTATCACACAGATTGCCTCAGATGTGCTCTTACACAATTCTATCTGAATATTCATCATTTCTGCATGCCTTATAGTCTACCATAATAAGCCAAACAAACAGTCTTTTTAAAGGGAGTGTTCGCGAAAAATGAAAGGGGGTATAGGCTTAATGCGATAAAAAAGCGCTTTTTATGGCTACTAATCTTATTTCTATCTGTTGCGTCTATAAGGAGAAAATTGTTAAATACGTCTCATACCGAATAACATGGCGTCCATACAAATTGAGAAAATTGCAACATACGACTTAGACCATAAAAAATCAATTTAATTTCGCCACATTTGCATATATTTGATATTTCATACTAGTTTTGATTTTGTTTTTTAAAAAATATTTAGCTTACAACTTGTTTTCGAACATTTCTGGAAAATATGAAAATGTCGTCTTCATTACCAAAAATCCTCGAAACAGGAATAAATGTTTTTATAAGTAACTCTGAGATCATAACAATTAAAACATATTATGAAAAATCAACTATATATAAATGTGGCGAAAGATAATCGATGACTATAGGTTGTAATATCTGAATGATTTGTTTGAAATTAAATTGATTTTTTTTACGGTCTAAATCGTATGATGCAATTTTCTCAATTTGTATGGTCGCTACGTTCTTCGGTATGAGACGTCTTTAACAATTTTCTCCTTATAGACGCAACAGATAGAAGTAAGATTATTAGCGATTAAAAGCGCTTTTTTATCGCATTAAGCCTATACCCCCTTTCATTTTTCGCGAACACTCCCTTTAACAATCCAAAAAGGAGTAGAAGAATCAGCATCCAAAAGAAACTGTTGGATGTTACTGCAGTGCTGAACACATTAACCTTTTGATTGCTATCAACATCAAAGCTTTTCCAGAATTGTTACTCTGTAGTACTGTTTAAGATAAAATAAAGATTTTCCCTTTGTACACAGAATTTTAAATTGTCCAAATACTGAATAAAGCAATTCCTTTCTCCTCTCTGAGATGTGGAACAAATTGTAATAACTCATGTTCAGTTGGTGTTCTGGACTCAAGTTGATCTCTAATAAAGTCTCTGAGTTGATTGCAGGCCCTCAAAATTTGGGAAGATAATTGATGAATCTAACATCTTCCTTGCTTGCCAGTTTAACTAACACTGACAAATTCTGGATTTTTTACTAAATTAGGATGATTTTAGAGTTTATTTTTAGCGTTGTAGCGTTATTAATATTCATAATTAGGATCTGGTTTGAAGATAAATGGAATGCTTTCTTCCATAATATCTACATTTTTATCTCGGGCGAGGTAAAAAAATATATTTTATTAAAATAACAGGAATATGGAAAAAAAATTACAATCGAAATGGAAAAGGATTTTAGCTTTACATGAATTATATTTGAACTTATATTATAAACAATCTCAGGGGACGAAAGTTCCAAACCTTCATTTTTGTCTAAAACTGGCACTTGACTTGGCCAAATCATATCTTGGAACTTTTATTTCCGTTGAAGTAGTAAAGAAACGAAGTAATTAAGCAATGATAATGAAATCAAAATACGAAAAAAGTGATGCAAAAATAAAGACAATTTAAAGCAAGGCCCGGGGTTTAAATTTGATAAGAAAAGTTTCTCAAAAACAAAGAAAAAGAAAATAATGTTTTTTTCTTCTTTTAGGAAGACCTAGATATCTACGAGGAGTGCAGGGATAAACAATCTAAAGCAGGAAACATGAAAATATGTATTTTATAAGAATTTAGAAAATTAGTCTATATCAAGGCCCTTTGCTTCCATTTTTTATTTGAACTTTAACTTATTGTTCAATCTTTCAATACTTAAACCTAATCTGGGGTCATGTTAAGTTCCACAAAAAAATTGGGCCCGGTCAGTTCAGCTGTTTTGACGTTTATAGGTTACAAACAAACATACAGACAAACAAAATTTATATAAGATTATTCAAATGCTATAAAGAGCGATGCAAATCAAAGGTGGATATAATATACTGATTAAAGCTCAAAAAGGCTCTGAACTATTTTGATTTCAAATTTTGAGAATTTTGAGGTACAGTGGTACCCTCAAAGGATGAGACTTCAGAGACGATTGTACGGATTTTATTAAGTTAAATTAATGGTTCCTTACAGTTTAAACGTTTAGATTCCTTTACTAAATCAAAGCACGCCTAAAATATGTTTTATGTATATTGCCAAAATTCAAATTAACCGTTTATATCAACAGATTAAAAAAATTTTGGATCGTCATTGCATTTCTTTTTAACGATTTTAAAATTTATATTTTTATTTAAATCTAGTTCCCAATGGGGGTAAGATATTTCTACGTCCTCTGAGAAGATCACTTTCCAGGAATTTGTTTATAGGTCAGATCCATTCTATCCATATTTATTACACCTAAACTACCAACATACATAGTTCTGTCTATTCAGTGAATTTCTGATTTCAGATTTTAAATTCTATAAAGACAAGTTTATAGGGTCATTCATTAAACAAGATGAGTTCTTGAGAAATACAAGTATATGTTTCAGATGCATGCTTTTCATGAGATCATTGGAAATTTTTAAAATTTTGGCGCAATTATAGAATATGGTGGGAGGAAGGAACGTTTTTAAAATACTTAGGACCTAATTGTTTGGTCAAAAAAAGCCTTATAATGATCTATATACTAGAACGATAAAATTATGAACTTTAATTTGACTTTTGAATTAGACATGTCGACTGTCGAGTCTAATTCATTTTAATTGATTAACAATTCTGTAAATTTAAAAGTTACCGGCTCTAACTTACATCAATTCAATCGACTTAAACTTATTCTCTCCTCTTTAAATAATTGTGTTTTTATTCGGAATTAAGTTCGGCTCATTTAAACTGATTCAGTCAATTCAAAAGTATTAATCTGAGATAACTTTATTCTTTAAGAGAATTTAATAGCATTAGTAGATTCCATTTAATGAGGGTTTTTCCTGATTCACAATGGTACCTTTTAAATTTTATATTTTATGTGGAAGATATCATCTTCTTTTTAGCCTAAAAGTGTTTCATTTCTACAGTCTCTTTCATTGTTGCTTAAGCAGAAATGCGCAAATTAAGCAAGCCCATAATTGGAAATAATCAATTTTAAACTTAGAAAAGATGTAAATATATTATGCATATTTAGTAAGAGCACCGTTGTTTATAATTCAAATTTTGACATTTTAGAATCCAATTATCCATTCCCTGTTGAAATACCACCACCCTATTATGAGAATACTTCAGCAGGTTTGTAAAATTTTATTGCGAATATTTCTATTCAGGATTGATGGATTTTTAAAATTAAAAAAAAATAGGGATATTTTTTTTCCAGGCAAAATTTTCAACTTTCAAAATAAACATAACAGGGTCTCCTTCATATTTTTTAAACAATTTTTTTTCTTCTTTTATACTTTATTTGTCTTTTTTATGTTATAAATAGTTTTCTATATAGGTTTTACTAGGACAGACAATACTCCAACAGATAACGGACAAAGTGGAATACTAAAATGGCCTTCAACACTTACTTTAGGATTAGGTAAACAATACATTTTTCATAAACTACTTTTTAATATATCAACAATAGGGGGCAGGATTTGTTCAGATTAACAATAAGTATACAACTGCAGCAGCTGATATATTTGATGTTTAAAATGTTTATATAACCCCTCGGGATGATTTGAAGATATTCGATATTTTAAAAAATTGTCTAGAAAAATTAAACCTGCAATTTATGAAAACCACATTTTTGCATTTTTTTGTTGAACAAATCAATAAATTTGTGTTATTATTAAATATAACTGTTAAAAACAAATCACAGTTACATAGTTTACTCTCCTAAGACGAATGACTAAGTTTACATTTTAAATTCTTCAAATTCCCGCCAATTTATAGCCTGTTCCCGGCGTCAATGTGGCGGAATTTTGCACAGCTGGCATCCCAGCCAATTCTGACACATTTACAGCACATTCGATCTAAACAATGAATTCTATTTTACGATTTGATAAATGCGCATATTCAAGTCTGACACTCGGGCATTTTTGTTTGTGAGTTGTTGGAGGGGGGGATGCAGAGGCGCCATGAGCCCTGCAAAAATGACCTCCGAGCCTCCAGATTTGCAGAATGATCTTCAGGCCCCACAAAACCGTCTCCGTGCCTCTCGCTCTGTTTCTGAAACTATCACCTTCTGTCTTCATGCCCTGCATAACCCCCAAAATATTACCAATCATAAATTTAACTAGGCAAAAAACTAAAACTATAACCATTTTTTAATTTAAAAATAACAATTTTTTAACAAAAAAAAACCTTTTTTCCTCACAAATATAGCCCTTTTTAACAAAATATAAAGATTTTTTAACCAAAGTTTAACTGTTTCCTCTCCCCCCCTCAAAAAATATCCTTTTATCCCAAAAATATAACCATTTTCTAACAAAAATATAACCATTTTTTAACCGTAAATATATCAATTTTATAATTAAAAATGGAATTTTTTTTTACCCAAAATTATAACCATTTTTTTACCAAAAAATATAACCATTTTACCAATGACTGCTTTTTTAGCCAATAATATTTTCATTGCTTAATTATAAATATAACCTGTTCTTAGCCAATAATTTATCCATTTTTTACTAAAAAAAAACACATTTATATCAAAATATAACCATTTTTAGCCAATAATATAACTATTGCTTAACTAAAAATGTAACCTTTTTTAAGTCAAAAAATATAATTGTTTTATAACCAAATAATAACCATTTTATATCTAAAATTATTAACCTAGAAATATGACCCTTTTTCAACAAAAAAATACAACCATTTTTTATAAAAAATATAACTATTTTTGTCCAAAAATATAACCATTTCTCAACTGAAAATATGACTGTCTTTTAACCAACGTTTAATTTGACCATGAAGCGCATTTTTAATGATTAGAAACAATTTTTATGAATAACTAAATGGGATTATTCCTCTGAATATAATTAAATAAAAGCCATAACATGTTTGATCCATAAACAGAAAATGTCCTAGTTAATATAAGAAGATTCCCAATTTACTAAGAATCAGTGTCAAGTTTGTGAGCAAGATGCACACATTCCTTTCCTCTCTAAAAGGGGGGGGGGCACTTTAGTGGACAAGAGTCAGCATAGGTTTACATACCTAAAAGTAAGTATGAAAAAGAAGACTTATGTACGTATACACAGGACGCATGTAAAGTCTTCGCATACATCGTGAAATGCAGACAAAACCTATTTTTGGTCAAATATGTTTATATTTTTTAGTCTGTTATGTTCTTAATCAAAAAATGTTTATATTTTTGGTTAAAAAAGGGTTATATTTTTGGTAAAAATATTATATTTTGGCTAAAATAAAATTTTGGAAAAAAGTTTGATTTTTGGATAAAAATATTGTTATTTTTTTAGTCAAAAATGAATATATTTTGAGCCAAAAAAAGTTATATTTTTGGTCGAAAATAGTTATATTTTTGGTCGAAAATAGTTATATTTTTGGTCGAAAAAAGTTTTATTTTTGTCTAAAAAATGTTGGTTGTTATTTTTGTTGGTTATATTATAAGCGTTATATTCCCCCCGCCCATCCCTGGTGATCATTTTGCAAATCTGTAGGCTGGGAGGTAATTTTTGCGGGGTTCATGGTGTCTCTGCACCCCCTCCCTCCTTGTAGTGTGGGGTGTAAACGGAGCGTGACAAGTATAAAAATTATTGCCGCGTCAAGGATTTTTAAGAAAATACCGGGGCTCACATTAATCAGGAGAAGGGTAGATTTCACCCATTGAGTTCAGTCCGCGGCATTCCTGCATCATTCTGCGCACAAAAAGTTTAGCTTAAACTTTGAATTTTAAAATCTTTTATAAAATCCTAAAAATTTCTAAAGCAAAATATTATTCTTGGCATTTATACAGAGCGTCCAATATCATTAGATTATCTCCAATCTTTAACACCTAAATACGCACGTAATACTCGAAAAATCTAGCCTTTTCTGCCAAAAAAAATTCTATTAGCCTTACTAAATTTTTCAAAATTATTCATTCTTCTTAAATTTTCTGATTTGTCCCCCAAATCGTAATTTAGACCCATTGACGCGGTCTAATTTGATGTGGGACACCCTGTAGTTTAAAAATGCAATGAAATGATTGAATGGTAAAATTGTTGATATAAAATAATCAATATTTCTCATTCTTACATTTGCTAGATGTTTAAAAATTTTCCTAAAAATGTCTTTTTAGATTCTGATTTTGATGAAAACTCATTGACTCCTGAGTTCCAAAGTAGAAGCAGGTCTGGTAAAACAAGTTTGAGCTTATTTCTTATATATAATAGTCACATATTTGTCTATTATTATATATTTTTTATATTATCATATTAACCATTTCACAGCTTTAGTCAGAAAACTTGGGTTTGCCATGAATTCTTAAAAAGTGTTGGGGGTCAGAATCCGATTTTACACGGGGGACCCCCCAAAAATTGTCTCAAAAATTGAACGGGCAACGCCGGGTACTGAAGCTAGTAGTATTTACATATAACAATAACTTTTAACTTGTATTTTTAGGAGAGTTTCTTTCAGTGTACAGAACCATATATCTCAGGGAGATACTTTACAAGTACATCAGGGAGGATATGCTGTACGTTTAGCCTCTGCTTGAGGTTTACAAGTACATCAGGGAGGATATGCTGTACGTTTAGCCTCTGCTTGAGGTTTCACTATTTCTAAAATTTGGGAAGATGATGGACCAAACCACTAAATATATTTCACTCTGGGATGACCGTCGTCAGTTCTAACGATATAATAACCCTCAAAATTGATGATAAAAAGGTCTATAAACCACCAGAAAATAAAGAAACAAATTTTTTTTTTTTTTTAAATGGGCTGTCAAATGGAACGAACTAAGATCATAATATGGAAAAAAGATAATTTGCAAATATTCACTTTCTAAAAAATGTTTAAAGACAAATTTGTTTGTTCTTTGTCATGAAGATTCAAAACACACTGTTTATTTATATACATAAGTATAAGTGGTGGTGGGGGTCGATCTAATTAATGACCTTTTACACTGCTTCACCAAGGATCGGATAATTTAGAGTACATTTAACCTCAGCTTGAGGTTTACATAAAGCACTGTGATCTTACAAAGCTAGATTTGTTGCATAAAACTTCGATTTTACACTTGACAGTCCAGACTGGAGAGTACGAGTGAATGCATATATTGTACCGGCTAGGTCTGCAGGCGTCGTTCCTTTGGAGCGCTTGTTCTTTCACAGAATCGAATGGAATTATTAATAATGATATCATGACTCTGAAAAAAGAAGGAACTAATAAAACACATTAACATTAAAATTAACGAACGTGGAACGATTAATAATTGGTTGAAAAGAACGATCTGGAATTGTTCACTAGAAACACATTCTAAATTAGGAACACATTATAAATCAGAAACACGTATTAAATCAGGAACACATTCTAAATCAGGATCCCATTATAAATCAGCAACACATTCTAAATCAGAAACACGTTCTAAATCGTTCTAAATCTAAATTTTGGTCTAATAAAGATGGAGGAAGTGGGAGGGGCAGGTTTTCACCCCCAGTGCCCATCCCCCTTCAATTTGCCCTTATTGTTAAGGTAGATGAATAGATAATTAAAAAAGACCCTGCGGTATCTTAAATGGTAAGCGTGCAAGGGAGCTTTAAAAAATAAAAAAGCCCCATCCCCCTTATATTTAAAATTAAAATCATTCATAAAAAAAACAGGATTGTTAATATTAACAAATCTCTATACAAACGGTTTCTTTCTCCCCCCCCCCCCCCNGTACTTCAGGGGGCAGAAACGTCATGGGGGTGTGTCTGTACCAAAAGAGTGTGTGTAAAGTTTACCGTACCGAAGGTGTGTACTGTAGGTTTATACAGTACGTACGAATCTCGGTATGTGTACAGTTAAGGAGAGTACATTTGTTTATTGTTAATTGTTTACTTAAAAATAAGTTTAATATACATGTAATATATTATTTATATATTTAAGCCAACACTATAAAACCAAATTTTCATGCAAAGAATATGATTTGATTAAAGTTTACAATAAACTACTCGTTATTCAAGTTTAATTATAATTTCCTTGACTGTAGTCATGTTGTGTGTCTGTACCAGAAGAGTGTGTGTAAAGTTTACCGTACTGGCTTTCTCAGACCAGCCCCATTTTCTTTCCCTTTATTCCTATTCCCTGTTGTACTTTCACATTATTTAGGGATTTGTTTTATTTCATGTCTTATCTGTTAATTGTTCAAATGTATTTTCATAAATAAATCATAATCATTTTTACCTTGTATCTTTTAATACAAATCTTTCATGCAAAGTACATAATAAATTTGATTTAATTTTATTGTTTTATTTAAATTTGATTTCTGTAGCATGAATAATATTATTAGTCTAATGTCAAAAGCTTTAAAATATCGTCTTCTTGCGACAAGAAATCTAAACTGTTCTAAATCGATTTCTTTTTTATATAATTTTGTGCTTTGGTCTATAGATTTATTTTTGAGGTCATTTTTAAACTATGTTAAATTTATTTATAATAATTATAGTAACAATGTTAATAGTAATGATTATTGATTATAACTGAATTTGTTTTTAACCACCCTAGAACTTTTTAACCCCCCTAGAAATTATCATGATGTATATCAAATTATTGGTTTTAGATGGGGTGTTTTTGCATTAACTCATTTCTACTGAATTTATTTTAAGTATCATAAAAAATAGTTTTACTCTAAGAGGAAAAAGATGTTACTTTTACTTTCATGAAAAAAGTCGTCTTTATACAATTGTTTTAACGGTGTTAAAAGCAGACTAATCAATAGGGAATGAAGTTTTTGGAAGGGGCAATTGTAACTTGTAGAGGCAGTAAGTGGAGTAATCCCTGCTATTCAGGGCCTGAAATTGGAAATTTAGAAAAAAGAAACATTTAGAAGACGACATTTAAGCCCTTTGCTGTGTAAGCCAGCCCTACGTTTAAAAGTTCAGGAAAGCTTTATTAGTATAACTACAATGCACATATTTATACATGTTTTTTGTTTTCGATACAAAAAGAAAGAATGTAATTTTGACGATATTTTATATTGATTTATATACTGAAATTTGTAGAATAGAAAGACGACATTAAAGAAATACTTAAGTGCATTATACGGTTTATTTATTAAATCAATAATTAAGTGAAATGGGTCTGTTTACACTGCACACTTACGGCGCCTTATGTTCATTATAGTCATAACTTCATTCTAAAAGTGAACTTCATATTCTAGTGTTTTCTGGTTTTCACTAAATAATTATATAAAAAAAAAATTGGTTTAAAAGGACATCTAATTCAATATTTGTTATTTCTTACCAAAATTTCAAAATTGTTTGCTTTAAATTAATTAAGAAGTTTTGTTTAATTTCTTTCTATTTTAAGTTGATACAAAAATAAAGTTTTTTATTCCAGTTTAACGAAAAACATAACATATTGCTAGTTTATATTTCTGTATGAAATTGAAATACTAGATTCCGAATAGATTATTCGTTTACAACAAATTAACAACGCGTGCAGCAAACACTTTATACAAAAAAGTGGAATAAAAGTCGTCTTTGCTGAATATTTTCACAACATTTTTAGAATTTATTGGTAACCAATTAGAACCAAGAATAAACAAAAAAATAGACAGTAGAAATTACGTACAGTCTTCTCCATGAAGTCTCATTCTTCGTAGGTAAAACTGTATGTATCTCTAAATATATATATTGACAGAGCTATTTAATAACATATTACAACCCATTTCAACATTCTTGGCGGTGTTTGTAATAGTATAATCAAACGAAGACGACTTTAATTCTGATTTATTCTGGTTATCACATTATCCATGGGGTTAGCTATTTAGAAAGTGAGGTAAACTCATAGACAAAAATAGGCACTCAGCCAACTAATATCACGAAACCTCGATTTCAAGAGGGAGTGGGGTTCATACAGTACACATACTACAGAGGTTTGTTTCAAACTTCGATTTTGGCATATACTTAGATGCATTTTGCCGGCGTACAGTTGAATACTAAATGATCTGAGAGATATTTTCCCACTAAAATTTAAACAAAAAAAGTAAACAAAGGAAGCACTTGAAAAAATAACTTGTTTTTTAGAAAGTGCGTACACAAACAACCCATTTTTTTAAATTGTACAAATTTTCCCAGCTTGCCTGCTGTACTCAGTACACTGATCCTCTATAAATATATACTCGTGGGTAAACTTCAATATAATATTTGTTTTTTACTGTAAAATAATCCTGTATATTTGAGTTGGTGAAGAAGGTTAGGTTTCCCTAAAATTACCATAATTTGTGTGGACTTGTATCAGCAAACTTTATAGATTGGGAGCTGGGAACAATGCAGGGAAAGAGGACAAAAATGTACCGTTGTGATTCGAACATGAAATATCTAAACAACAAATTGTCAACAGGAACTTATTTTTTACATTCTTAAGCAAATAAGTTTTTGCAAATACATTTGGTTTGAAGATCACAATTATTTTGTTTACTAATTCTTTATTTGACGCACAGTAAAGTATACGTTATAGCTGATTTACCGCTATACGCGTAAAATATCTGGCAGATTTGTTTCAGAAGAAGAAAAACCGTTTACCTGCAGGCTGTATATGTATATATTTTACCTGCAGGCTGTATATGTATATATTTTACCTGCAGGCTGTATATGTATATATTTTACCTGCAGGCTGTATATGTATATATATTTTACCTGCCGGCTGTATATGTATATATTTTACCTGCCGGCTGTATATGTATATATTTTACCTGCAGGCTGTATTTATATGCATATAGTTTACCTGCAGGCTGTATATGTATATAGTTTACCTGCAGGCTGTATATGTATATATTTTACCTGCAGGCTGTATATGTATATATTTTACCTGCAGGCTGTATATGTATATATTTTACCTGCAGGCTGTATTTATATGTCTATATTTTACCTGCAGGCTGTATATGTATATATTTTACCTGCAGGCTGTATATGTATATATTTTACCTGCAGGCTGTATTTATATGCATATAGTTTACCTGCCGGCTGTATATGTATATATTTTACCTGCAGGCTGTATATGTATATATTTTACCTGCAGGCTGTATATGTATATATTTTACCTGCAGGCTGTATTTATATGTCTATATTTTACCTCTGTCTGAACAAATTGAAAACAGAAAACCATGCTTTAACATTTAAAATGGTTCTTTTTTACAATTTTTACGCACAGCCCTAGTTACAAAATGAAAAAACTAAACTAATCTTTTGAAAACAATAATTTAAAAGCAATTGCTAGATACGTTTGTTAAAACAGTTTTTAAATAATATATTAGGATCAAACATTGATCCGGGGTTGGGAAAACCGATGCTGAAACTACAATAAGATGAAAAAGACTATTATTACACAAGTAAACCAGAGAAAGAACAGTTGTTTTTCTGGGTTAATTCATCAAATTTTGTGTCAGGCTTTTTAGTAAAAATCTGTCCTGAATGTGACCAAGAAATAAGACCCCATTTTTCTTGGGCTGTCTCTTTTGTACAGTTAACAAATTAGATCATTTGCTTTTTTATTCTTAAATCAATGGTTTACTTCAGAACTTAGATTTAAATACAGCATGTTACTTTGCTAATTTATGTCTTTATTGACTCAGTGAGAATAACAATCTTCTATGCAAATATGCACTTTCATATTCAAGGGTCTCCAACATGTTTATGTTTATGTTTATATTAAAGGGGCTCCAACATGTTTATGTTTATTTTGTATATTCAAGGGGCTCCAACATGTTTATGTTTATTTTATATATTCAAGGGGCTCCAACATGTTTATATTTATTTTATATATTCAATGGGCTCCAAAATGTTTATGTTTATGTTTGTATATTCAAGGGGCTCCAACATGTTTATGTTTATGTTTATGTTTCTATATTCAAGGGGCTCCAACATGTTTATGTTTATGTTTCTATATTCAAGGGGCTCCAACTTGTTTATGTTTATGCTTATGTTTGTATATTCAAGGGGCTCCAACATGTTTATGTTTATATTTGTATATTCAAGGGGCTCCAACATGTTTATGTTTATTTTGTATATTGAAGGGGCTCCAACATGTTTATGTTTATGTTTCTATATTCAAGGGGGTCCAACATGTTTATGTTTATGTTTTGTACAAGAAAACAAAATATGAAGAGTTTTGAAATGAATAAGAAATGAAGATTTTAAAATAAATTAATATTTTAATGAATCATCTAACCTTATTTATGTTTAAATAAGTAATTCATTTTGTATAAACACAATTATTCATTAGAATTTTATTCAAAAATGATAAATTAAACTATATATTCTCATTAATTATTCTAACTGGGCATTATAATGTTAATTTAAACTGGGGTTTCCACTGTTCTAATGGAATATCCAGCATTTTGAAACTTTACAACTTAAATCAATTCTAAATCTTTTACTTTAAAAGACTCAAAATAAATCTGGATTAGTTTGTTTTAATTGAACGATGGATTCAAGAAATGTTTGTGATCAATATGGCAGTATGTTTTCATACAAATGTTTCTTTTAAAGTTTTGGGTTGCTTACTAAGTTTAGAGATGTTAGTATACAAGTAAATCTAAATAGGTACAAGATAATTATAAAGATTTTTCAAGTAGGTTAATATTCAATTCTTTGTGAGCATAATTAACAATAGTTTCACACATCAGCACATTTGTAAAATAATTGCCCCCATTCTGTCATGCTATATATGCCTTGAAAATCTTTTAACCGAACAATTAGGGATGCTTGAATCTCAGGAATTTCCAAGGTCATATTACAGCTTCGTATATCTGCTTTCTTGACATTGAATTCTAACATTAGGTTTGAATTTTTATAAATTCTTTGAGAAACAGAATTTCAAGGCTTAATTTATTCAGAAGGCTGACACCAGGAAGCTGTTCAATAGATAGAAAAAAAGGAATGATTTACTGACAGAAAACATAGTATCTGCTTTCTTTATTTCAGAAGCAAGAAAGGGAAAAGTTGAGGCCGAAAAAGCTGGCATAATGAGTAACATCATTTACAGATGTGACATCTTGTTTTTCCCAGGACACAAAAATTCAAACTGAATAGTACATGTACACTTAAACAATGAAATACATGCTTAAATAAAAAAGAAATATTGTGCAGATCTGCTAAAAACTCTCTTGCATAAATCGTTCACAGGGATATTATGTGAGTGTAGAGGGCAATGATTCATGGATCAAAGCAGGAATTCTTGAAGTTCAGACAAATAAACATGTTTCCTACTTCTCAAAATCACTTTCATCTCCTTCATAAGCCTTTGAGGAGGTTTGAGAACCTCTAATTATTTGGTTGCTGATGCTCTCTTGGGGGCTATTCTCGCTAGCTCTGGATCTTGACGAGCTTCTTCTGCGAAGCTGAAACACATGAGACTTCTGGGGGTCTTCTGGGGGTGGTCTGTAAAACCCAGGTTGGAAAGGAGCATTGGGACTTTCTCGGTATTTCATTTTAGAATCAGGATCTTTTGGTTTTGGTGATTGGTTTATTTGAAGTCTCCTTCTTTGAGACATTGGAGTATTTGGAGCAGACGTTGCTAATGCCATAGGCGTAAAAGTATCAGGTGTGCGTATAAAAGATTTTGATCTAACAGGCATCCTAGATCGGAAAGCTGACTCTAGTTCTGTACTTTTACTTGAGCTTTGCTGCTGAATAACAAAAGATTTGCTAGATGAAGATTCAACAACAGAGGATTGTTTAGAGATGGATTGAGATGTTTCTGATTCAAGAGCCATTGCTTCAAGTTCAGCCTCCTCAAATGACCTGCGGCATTCCTCAGCTGAAGACTCATACATATTTCTGGATTGAACAGCTTGTTGTGTTAAGGTCTGGACCTGTGATTGCATTCTGTTTGTTGACATTGTTTGAGATTCGGAAGTAGAAGTGTATGTGTGATACTGTTGCACTGATGTTTCTGCTGTAAACATACTGTCATTAGACACCATAGATTCAGTATCTGCTATTAATTGATCCAGTGCAATGTCAATTTCCTTATCAGCTGCAAACTTTGTTAAGTATTCTTGTTTAATTGTGTTTGAGTTATCAATATTGTTAGACCAGCCTGGGACTTCAATTGACTGCATACTTTCTTGCCTTGTTTCCTGCTGATGGATCACTGTTTGGCTTGAATAATGAGCATGTCTTGATTCTTGATTTGTTTCGTAGTTTGAAACAGAGCAGGAAAGTCCAGAATCCAATGTAGAATAATCTGTGTCACTGAATGGTTTGCCCTTGACTGAAGATTTATTGAACATAACTGGACTTAATGGCTTATTTTGCATTTTTTCCATTACCTGAGTAACGGGGGTTGATCTTGTAACAACTTGATCATATTGGTACAACTCATCCTCTACAGACATTTTCCTTACAGTCACTGGAGAAGGGGGTAGGATTCGCACACCCTTGTGCTTTTTCTCAGTTCCACTTGAACCACTAGCCTCTTCCTTTCTACATAATTCTTCTTGCTGGGCAGCAATTAGTTTGACCTTTTCTTTCACAGGTAGAAATTCTACAGTTTTAACTGATGCTGTTCCTATGCCATTGCTTTCAATACTTTCAGTTGGGCTAAATATTGTTCGGGAAGGAGAGTTCATAATCTTGGTTTTAGGTGGTAATGCAGGTCTTCCCTTGCCCATTTGTTCCAATTCAGGAAAACTTAGATTGTCTTTTTTCTCATACAATTGGGACATGAAATTAGATGTGAAATCAGTTGCATTTGTTTGGGCCCCTACAACATTTGCATTAAGTCTTTCTTCCCACATGTTCTGCTGATTTTTACTTTGATCTAATCTATGGTTGTCTTTGATATGTTCTTCTTGTTTTTCATTTGGCATAATATAACTGAATTTTTCAATCTTTGAATTCTGTTTTGAATACTGATTTGTTTTTTGCTGTGATTCAAAGACAGTATTGGTGTAGGTTTTATTCTGCTTGTCCAATTGCTTTGACTGATTCTGAATTTGCTTGCTATTTGAACTTTTTATGTTTTGAATTACAGGAACAAAAGGTACTCTGCAACCCATACTATTTAAGTAATCCACTAATCTTTTAATATCTTCATCTAGTTCCCAAACAGGTGGAGCAGGAGGGCTCTTACTTCTTGGAGGAACATCAGGAACATACAGATCAGGATGAACAGGTTTCCAATTAAATTTAGAGCTATCTCTTGATCTTGGGTCAGCTTTATTTTGCCAAACTGGGAGGATACGTCCACTAACATCACTCTTGTAGCCATGATGCTGGATGTTACCCTTTTGAAAAACTGAAGGGTAACTGCTTTTACCACCTTTTCTATCTGGACGGTAGTCTCGTTCATCAACACCAGGCTTAAATGGTATCTTATCCATATGTCTAAACTTGTCAGATGGATGATAATCTGGGAGTGAGGCCAGGTACTCCATAATTCTATTTAGAGGAACACCACCACTCTTCTTTCTCATTTCAGCAAGTTCTTCCTGGGTCAAGGGGGGTTCATTGAAATTGACAAAAGGCTTCTTTCTTTGATCTTCATCTTTCCAAGTCATACGCTTTCTTTCCCTCCAAAGTGGTGGCAAATAAAGATCATCCCCACCTCCTCCACAGCCATCAAAGGATAATTCTGCTTCACACTCAGCTTCTCCAAGTGCATTTACTGCTCTTACTCGGTATAAACCACCATCACCCTCAGAAACTTGGTGGAATATGATAACATGCCTAATTTGATCAATTTGACGAACCTCAATTCTGCTGTCAGGAACATATTTATTAGGGTAACCATTCCAATTCTCTGTATGTGTCTTTGTTGTAACTTCAACTTCTTCACCATCCTCCATAACCTTATACCAATAAACCTCAGGAACCGGCCACCCACCAACCTCAATCTCTCCGACAAACCTTCGACTTCCTTCGCCATTGACATTATACAGCCTTTGCCAAAACACAGGAGGAAACTGCTTCTTTCTCACAATAAGATCACAAGTACACTCAGCTGATCCTAGTTGATTATGGGCAACAAGAGTGTATTTGCCCATATGATACTCTCTTGTATATTTCAGAATCAGAGTAGACATCTTTCTTGAGTCATGAATCTCTGCATCCTCCCAGCCCTTGTGCCCTGAAACAAAAGTCATTATATTAAAATCAAAGATATATATTAAAATTTGTTAAAATAGGAACTTGAAATTAAATTAGAATTATGCCTTTATCTTGAATTACTGTCAGAAACCAAAAGGAATTATCTGAATATACATTCATGCATTAATTCAAGATTAGACGATTTATAAACAAACATTGTGTGTTCAGGACCCCCCCCCCCCTGTCCTCCTACACATTTATTTCATTCTGAGCCTCTATTTGAATTCTAATTATTATGAAATTGTAATGTATTCCCTAATTTTACACTAAAATGGGTTCAAAATGTAAGATTTGCATAAAATTTGAAGCAATAAAGCCAAATAGCATTCACTGTTGTTAGATATGTCCGGGGTTTGGATGGAATTGTTTAGTTTTATATACCCTTGTTTAACATTTTATGTTAAAATATATAATCTTCAAAAGCATTCAAACTTTTTATTTTGACAACATCAATTTATGAGAATAGGGGAGACAGTCTGGGAGTTGGTGTTAAAGTTTAATGATTTACAGCAATATTTTATAAAATAAGATAAAAATTTAAGTTTTGATGTAAAAAAAATAAGCTAGATATAAAAAAATTATGCCATCAGGACATTTAAGATAAAAACCAGTCTGAATTCAATTCTTGACAAAGCATAGAATTCCTAGCTGTTGTCAATGGTATATCATAAAAATTGTCATTTGTGCAATTCAACTATTTAACATTTTTTTCCTTCAAAATTTCCTTTTTATTTCTTTTCCTCATTTTCTTTTTAGTGTGTTCCTTTTCTTTTTCTTATTAATTCCTATTTCCGTCTTTTCCTCTTTCTATGTACTTCATAATAAATCCAATTTTTGTCTTTTTCTCTTTTTTTACTATTAATTCCTTCATTCGTCTTTTCCTTTTTCTACTTCCTTTTAATTTCTTTAATTTCTCTTCCTCTTGTGCTTCCCTTTTATTATTATTATTGATTTTTGTGTTTTATCAAATACAAGCCAAATGTAAATCCTAAGGATTTTTGAGATTTATCATTTACACCCATGGTTTGGGATTATGCAAATATTTCACTCTAGATCCCCCCTACTCTTGTTTTAGTATGGATCCCTTTAACAAAAAGAGTATGAATGAATTGGGATTGATCAGCTTCATAGTTTATTTATTAGATACATCTGTAAGGATTATTAATATTTTAATCAGTTCCATTAGATCTTCAGTTGCTCCAGTTCAGGATCTGTCTGAGCCGCTTCCTCAACCTCAATATCTCGTTTAGCTGTTCCAGTTCCTTATCTATCTTGGAAGCTTCTCCAATTTGATATCTTGTTTACCTGCTCCAGTTAACCATCTATATTGGCAGCTTCCTCAACTCAATATCTTATTTAGCTACTCAAGTTCAGTATCTTTTACACTGCAATCTTAGCTGCTATTTTAGCTGCTTCCCGAGTCTCTGCTACTTTAGTTACTCTAATATGGGATGCTTCCACTACATTCCCAGCTGCTTCCCTTATTACCGGAGCTTCACCCAGAGTCTCTGCTATGTTAACTATTCATTACTGGAGCTGCTCCTAGAGTCTCTGCTATGTTATCTGTTCATTACTAGAGCTGCTCCTAGAGTCTCTGCTATGTTAGCTGTTCATTACCAGAGTTGCTCCTGGAGTCTCTGCTATGTTAGCTGTTCATTAACAGAGCTACTCCTAGAGTCTCTAGTATGTTAGCTGTGCATTACCAGAGCTGCTTCCAGAGTCCCTGTTACTTTAGCTGCTCCTGCAATCCAAGATGCTTCTACTGCAATCTCAGCTGCTTCCTTAACTAACGGAGCTACTCCTGAAGTCCATGCTACGTTAACTGTTCTTCCAATCTGATATGCTCTTACTGTGTTCTCAGCTGCTTCCTTTGCTGGACTCACAACAGGTCTGTGAAGAGTTGCTCTACAATGAGCTGTGTCTCCGTACTCAGAATCCTCTGGAGAGTATAGAGCAAACCTTTAATGAATTGGCGGGGTAATCTAGTTCTCCTCTGTATGAACACACTGCTCCAAGTCTCTATATAGCTCTGTTCATAGAACCCGCTGGAGAATATATCTTGACCTGTGGTTGGACTGGCTCGACTGTTGTTGGACTTGTTTGCCTTGGATATCCTAGTTCTCTTGTATGTCCTAGAAGTCCTAGCTCTCCTGTGTGTCCTGGGTATCCCAAGTTATCCTAAGTATCCTGGAAGCACTAGTTCTCCTATGTTTCCTGCAGCTATTTCTACAACAAATATGTGAATATCTGTCTGTGAAGATCAGCGTCTCTTGTCTCAAGATTATCTTATTCTTCTATAATGGATTTGTGGAGAGCTTCCCGGAAAGAGCAGCATCTCCTCAGTATCAGGCTTAGCTTCTGCTCTTGGAGTCCTAGATCTTGGCCAAATCGTCTAGCTGTTCCAGATATATGATGAGCTGTCTGTAAAAATCAGTATCTACAATATAAGGATAGGGCAGCATCTGATATTTTGGGTATCCTAGTTCTCCTCTGTATCTTGGAGATCCTACTTTCTCTCTGTCTGTATCCAGGATATCCTAGTGGGTAGTTCAGATGGGCTGGTACGAGAGCTATTGGTCCAGTTCTAGAAACTACAGGAGGGGAATCTCTTGATGAAACTGAGTATCTCTTGGATCTCCTAGTTCTCTTCTGTATCCTTATGAGTTGTTTAGACGGCAATACAATAGTAATTGGTCTAGTCCCAGAAACTAAGGATACAAATCTCTTAATGAGACTGAGGGCCTCTTGTGTTCTGTGGTTGGCATGTTAACAATCCATCTATCTGTTAGTTGTCTGTTAGCTGTCTGTTGTGCAAGTTCCCAAGCTTTTTTATATACAAACGGGAGATTAAACTCACATCCGTATTCTATAAAAATCTCTGTAGATCTGGGTGTACTGCTCCTATTCTTATTCCTATTTTAATTGTTATTTCATCTTTCTACTTCCTTTTCATTACTTTAACTGTCACTTTCTCTTTCTACTTCCTTTTCATTCCTTTAATTGTCATTTTCTCTTTCTACTTCCTAAGAATTTCTATTTTCGTCTTTTCCTCTTTCTACTTCCTTTTCATTCCTTTAATTGTAATTTCCTCTTTCTACTTCCTAAAAATTCCTTTTTTCCTCTTTTCCTCTTTCTACTTCCTATTAATTCCTTTTTCGTCTTTTCCTCTTTCTACTTCCTTTTCCTTTTCATTCCTTTAATTGTCATTTTCTTTTTACTTCCTATTAAATTCTATTTTCTCTGAACTCATATTTTGGCATTTGTTTCCCCTGCCCTCAGAGGATTGCGAATTTTAGATAGTTTTTGTCCTATCTTTGGCAAATGTTTATCTGCTGAAGCAAGATACTTTAAATTCCCCCACAGCGCTGGGGGGGGGGGAAGAGATATAGATACATTTCCTGCTAAAGGAGGGGGAATTTACAGTTTAAGAGAGGGAGGGGGTTATCGTCCATTTACAAGAATATAGTGGGGAAATTATAAAGAAAATGATGCTGAAACAAGAAAAGGTTTCCTTAAACCCAGTTCTGGATTATCGATCTGGGATATCATGGCTTATTTTTGTCTAAAGTTTGGTAAAATTGACAATTTGAGTTTTCTGATTTTCTAATCCCTATATCTGAGCAACCCAATGTCGTAGACCTTAGATATTTCAAACTATGAATTCTGTTTGATCAAAGAATCTAACATAAACAACATAAACAAATTCATCTTTATCTATGTAAATTACGTCCTATTTTTCTACTAGATTTACATATGGCCTAGATAAAAATTTACCTTTATTATATATTTCTAATTTATTTAAGTAAAAAAACTGAAAATTTCTCTTGCGTCATGGTTAAATTGATAACCTGCGCTTTTCAAAAGTCTTAGGTGTAAAATGTAAGATGTAAGATGTATAATGTAAGGTGTATATAAGATGTAAGATGTAAGATGTCAGATGTAAGATGTAAGATGTAAGATGTAAGGTGTAGGATGTAAGAAGTAAGATGTAAGATATGTAAGATGTAGGATGTAAGATGTAAGATGTAAGATGTAAGATGTAAGATGTAGGATGTAAGAAGTAAGATGTAAGATATGTGAGATGTAGGATGTAAGATGTAAGATGTAGGATGTAAGAAGTAAGATGTAAGATGTAAGATATGTAAGATGTAGGATGTAAGATGTAAGATGTAAGATCTAAGATGTTAGATGTAAGATGTAAGATGTAAGATGTAAGATGTAGGATGTAAGAAGTAAGATGCAAATGTAAGATGTAAATTATAATTAAGTAAATTCAATTATAAAATACACCATAAATAAGATTAAAGATTTAACCCTATTCCTGCTGGGGGGGGGTCAATTTGACCCCCCCTGTAGTTTTTTTGCATAACTCAAAAAGTATTGGTCTGAGGCTGTTGACATTTTCTGACTTTTCCTAAATACCCAAAGCCCTCCCTTTAGGCCTAAAACCGGGCTTTAATACTAACTGCCTGAGTCCTCAGGCACACTGCCTGAATGACTGCTTTTGCTTGTAGCAAACTAAATCTTTGTTTTGACCCACTTTCACTTGTCAGACTTTGATAAAATTTAGCTTTTTGGAAAGCCTATGACATAAGGAAACGGATTGCACAAGTTTTGCGAAAAAAAAATTGCAAATTTTTTGCAAACAACCTGTCAAAGAAAATTTGCACATTTTTAGTTTTTCTTGATTAAAAATCAGGTTATTTAAAATTTTGCAAAACTTTTTGCATATTTGAAATGGCATGGCCAAGGGCTTTTCAAAAATGTATAATTTGTCATTTTTTGGACAAATTTTTTGCAAACATTTTTACTATAAAACTGGATTTTGCGATAAAAAATTCAATTTTCGCAAATTTGCAAATTTTTTTGCAGATTCTAAAAGTAGAGCACAAGAGCTTTCTAATGATGTATCATTTGTCATATTTGGACATAAAACATGGGATTTAGAGGGGGGGTCAAATTGACCCCCCCCCAGCGTATCCTGGTTTTCAAGTACCCCAGCGGGGATAGGGTTAAGCTACATATGAAATATAAGATTCTAGGCTTTTAGGGGCGCTTCGCGCCCATCTTCTATTTCAACGTTTAATTGTGGCTTTATCTCTTTGTACAGTATAAAACAAACCAATCAAATAGTTTGTGTATTTCATAAAATTTGTACGCGGAATTTTAAAATTTTACAAAAATAAAAAACTTTTAAATACACATTTTTTTTAAATTTTTTAAACCTTCTCTAGGGTCACGTGAGGTCCCATACAAAATTCGGACCCGTTCAGCCGTTTTTACGTTTATTGGATACAAACAAACAAACAGACAAGCTAAATTTATATATAGATAAATTTAAAAGTTTAGATAATGTTGAAAGATGGAAGAACTTAATTATTCTTTATACTGAGAAAGCCTAGAAAACTTTCCAAATTATATCTCAGGGATGCAGACAAGAAAAAGATAAAAATATTAAAGGGACAGTAAACGTAATATAAACTTTAATTTAAAGGGACTGTATAATTTCAAGTTACCTTCCTTACAAATATGCTCTATTCACAACAGTACCCTTGAAACCTTTTTCTGATCAATAATAAGGAAGATATTTTCATTATTCTAGGTTAACAAGTGATCAGACATTGCCATAAAGAAAGGGTACCACTGTAAATCCAGCATTGCAATCCGTGAGAGTTACTTGTAAGCAATAGTGTTTTTTTTCTTGTCTTTAACGTTAAAGGGTCACTGAACATTTTGAAGATTTAAAACAAAGATTGAATTAAGTAAATGTGAAAATGTGGAAAGTATCTTGTAGATTTCTCTGTGAAAGGTCTGAATAAATCTGGCTTTAGTATCTAAACATTGAGTGTTTGGAAAAGAGAAAATAGAAGGACATTTGTTATTCTTTAAGAGGAGGTTGCTACGCTAATTCAAATATAAGACTTTATTACCATGCAAAAATAGGTTAATGTATGGTATTTGAACTGAGAATTTAGTATTGTGGAGAAATTTTTTAGGCAACCAACTCCCTTTAAACATTTTTTTGAGTCACATTTTTTGAATTTCGAGAATACATTTTAGATACAATACAGTGCAGCGCTCGGCACAGAATGACCATCGGAGGAAGAGGGGACAGAAAGACTTGACATAAGAATTGTCGGCGTTTATCATTACAGTAAAGTTAAGGTGTGTTCAAGTTACTAATTGCAATGAAATCAAATGATAACAAAAAAATGTCAATGCTTATATTTATACTCTGCAAATGCCTATTTCTCTTTGTACTTTAAGGTGGTGGGTGGTTGCAAAGATATTAGAATTAGAAAATACAGAATAATCATGCAGTTCCTTAGTTTCCTTTTTTAATATTCTTTTAATATTTCTATGTCTTTTTTGATATCGCACAAATTTAAACATCTTTTCCATGTATCTCCCCCCCCCCATTCCCTCCTGTCCAGAGATAGAAGCTCAGAGCGTCCACCTCTTAGATTTTAGATTCATTTGTCAATATATATTTTCAACAATTTGCTGAAATCTGACACATTATAGAATCCTAGGGATTGGAAAATAGATTGAATTCAAGATAAACTTCTTCTTCTTTCACTCTGCTCATTCACTCTTCCTTTTAACCCTAAAATGACTGATGGGGAGGGCATTTTATCACCCCCCCACCCCGGACCCCCTGGCGGATCACTTAAAATTCCGCATACAGTCCCTTTAACAGTTAGTGTGCCAATTTTTCTTTCGTCATAAATTAATATGTATTTCTGATAAAAAAAATTTTTTTTCATACATACCCTGCTTCACTATTAAAATGTAAATCTTTGTTTTTTGAAATAATTTTAATTTTAACCCTAACTATAAAATAGCAAATAAATATATCTTGGTTGAGTTTAGAAATTAATCCGAAATCTTGCATTTTATTCAGCGCAGATTTTGCAAATAATTCAAAGCAATTTGTAAAAATAAAATCAGAAGAGATTTTATGCAAAAATTCTGCAGTAATTCCTTCCTAAAATGCACAATTTTCATTGATATTCTAATTTAAATTATGAAAATTCGTCAATTTTATATTTTATGTTCATATGCAAGATTTAATATGAATCTAGATTAAAGGAAATTAGTTTTTTTTTCACAAATTCTGATTTTATAATGAAAGATAATAGAATATATTAGAGAGGAATTTACTGGAAAAAAGTGTAAAACGGCCATTTTGTTGTACTGTTTCCACACTGCAGGTGTACTTTACATATTTGTGCTCTTTAACCTTTTGGGCCCTGGAACATATTTTCCTAGAAAAAATAGTTCTTAATAATTATTTCATTTTTTTAAATCCTTTTTCTCTGACAACCTTTCATGAACACGTCGATAGAAATAGTTTTTTATCATTAGAAACATACTCCTATAATTGTAGGTATTCACTTTACAAACGACGATTTTACGTTGTAATGATTAATAAAGTAATGATTTTAATTCACCTAAAGCAAATGTTTAAAGTTATTTAACAACTTTATAAAACAAAAAATAAATGGGAATGGATGTCCAGGGATGGTATTAGTGTGATGTACTGCATATAATTTGTGAACATTTACATGAATTGTACACTTTGAACTCCCTTTCAGGCTGAAAGGTACTGACAATATTTATACTAAGGTATTGTTTAAATTCCACTCTAACATATTCTATTCTCTTTGTTTATAATCCTTCTATCAATTAACAACCAAAGGATTTAGACCTTGAATATTTCTAACTGTGAATTCGGTTTGATCAAATAAACTAATCTTGAAATTTAAAAGGTCTGTACGTGTACCTATACCATAAGGTAGCAAAGATATAGGGATAAGAAATTTGAGTTTTTGGCAAAAACTCAATTTCTTTGTCATCGTTTTACCAACGTAAGTGACATTTTTATCTAGATTTTTTTATTTTTGTCATTTTTCGCGTTTTAAAACAAGTCGTATTACCTGGTATAATCGGCTCATCATCAAAAAACCAATTAAACTTTGGGTTTGGTTTCGCATCGACGATTCCTTCGAAGAAAACTTTGGCGGATTCCTCGACAGCTGCTCCTTCGATCTTCGTCACAAACCTTGGAGGGCAGTTGTCCTAAAGCAGAGATTTCAACCTCAAACTTCAAGAAAAGTATAATAAAACATGCACTCAAAATATGAAACATGAATCCTTTGATTTTTCATGATCATTTTATTTTTAATCCATAGTTTTGAACAGAGAAATAACAAAACAAAAAAAATCAAAAACCCTACATCAATATATTTTTTTAAGTTCAACTTTTTAAATTTAGCAATTTTCATTAATTTTTTTATATTTACAGTGTTAGCATAGTGTTCAAATATGGAATTCAATCAAATTAAAACATTTTTACAAAAACTTTTAAAATAAATTTATTAATAAGGTTTAACTCACCTTAGGTTTGATGGTGAGTGTCCCCTGCTGGGGTCCCTTAGGTATCCAGTCAACACGCATAGGGTCCTTCAAGGGGATTATTTAAACTTATTTTGTTATTAAAATAAAAAATTTCAGTTTTTCATTAAAGTTATTTTTTTATTGAAACAGAAATTAATTTTTAATTACAAAAAAATTTGCTAATGTGGAAAGATTTTTAGTTATTTTATGAAAAGTTGTTTTTGTGAAGTCTTTAAATTCGAAATGTAACTTCAAATTTTATAATTTTTTGCTTTGAGTTTGTGATTTTTTACTGAAGCAATTCATGCAAAAAATGTACAATTAACATCATCAGGGATACAGCAGTCATAAAAATGACAAGCTACAAAATTTGTAGCTATATTTATACATTTTTTTATTATATTCTTTTAATGTATTCAATTTTGAGATTAAGTTTAAATTATTCTTCCTCAGGGTACATCGCCTTGTGAACATAATCATTTCTCATTGTTTGGTAGTAATCCATCTTTATGGATCAAGTTTTCACTTGCTAGACTTTCAACTTTTATCACAATCTCTTTTTATAGTTTAGTCTGTTTTTTTTGTTAATGTAGAAGTAGAAATGTCAAAAAAAAATGTTTGCTAAATTTTGATGCTTCAGTTCTCCCCTCTCGCTGCTCTCTGTTGCAAGTTCTAAACAAAAAGAAAATTTAAAATTTGTAAAATTCTCTGTAAGGTAATTATTTTGTTGAATTTGTGTTTTGCTGGATCAGCTGAATTTCCGAAATTTTTTCCCGGATTTTTAAGATGTAAGATAGAAATAGATCTGGGAGATATCCAGATACTCAATATTATTTTTTACAAAGATAGATAGATAGATGTATTAAACAGATTAAAGGTTTAATACACGTAACTAGTATAGATATACAGAGGTATCCACAAAGTAATTGATTTCTTGCCAAAACCTCAAATTGTCTAATCCCTTAAATCTGTGCAACCTGATGTTTAAAATATTTCTGACTTCAGATTGTTTTACCCAACAGAATTCATAGTTTGAAATATTTGGGATAAGATAATTTGAGTTTGTGTCAAAAAATCAATTCCTTTGAAATAAAAGGCTAAATATCATTTTTATGGGTAACCCAGTATTTAATATGATTTGTTTGTGGGGTGGGGGGGGGGGGGTTAAAGGAAATAAAATGGTTATTGTTTAATTACGATTAAAAATATCATATGTGATACTAACACGTATTTAATTAGTATTCGCTTCAGGATTCAAACATTTTGCATAAGTTAATTACTTCCCTTAATTAGATCTGGAATTGCATATAAATGTCAGTTTAACGATAAGAGTTTCAATGTATGTACGTATTTGCTTTCTTTCCAATTAAAATATAATTTGAAAAATCATCAGAAACACAGGATTAATGGATAGATTGTACAATGTATAAGAAATACATTTAGAACACAATTCAACATAATCGGGACCAAACAGAAAATGTCGATTATTAATTCTTTAAATCCGTAATTATTGAAAACAAAAACCTGAGAGAGGAATTGAGTCTTTGCATACAACTGAACTTTTCAAATCCCTATATCTTTGCAACCTGTTGGTGTAGCCCTTTAATATTTTAAACTTAGATTATATTAAATATCTTGGACTATAACATTAGGTTACAAAGCATTGGGGATTAGAAAATCAAATTCTGCAACAAAGACTTGATTCCATTTGTTTGTTTTATGATGTATGAAGAATAATTAATGACTAATAAAAGTTTAAATGACTAATGACTATCTCACTATATTATCCCTTGAAGAAACTAATTCATTTGGTGTACTGTCCTGTGAATTTAACGGTTCTGTCAATATTTCAGAAAGCTGTGACTTTCGATCACAATTTAACCCCTCATACATAATTTTATAGCCTTTTTTCTTAAATACTTTTTTGTTGGCAGCTCATGGCATATACATTTTGAATGAAAAAGTATAAAATAACAAATCTGTAAGTTTAAAGATTGTTGAATAATAGACGAAAACACGTTTGATTTCAAATAAAAGAAACAGGATGCTTCTCATGGTTAGTTCGTGGTGACTGTACAGCCGGCCTGGTACTTGAAATGAACCAGACTTTACCGTGATCTACAAAAAAAGAACTTTAATCTATTCTTCCCATGGCTAAACGTTTTCTGAGAAACCTTCAAGCGTTAACCCTATATCGGCTGGNGGGTGGGACTAAATCTATGTGAAGCCTGTTCAACGCTAAATTTTCCAAAAACTATTGTTATTTTTAATCAAAAAAATCTTTTCTTCGAATACAATCTTTAAAATTACTTTTATTGAAAAAATATTTGTGAATATTTGATACATTTTTACATATTTTCTTTTATTGGAAATATGTTTCTGAACAATTTATGTAAAACAATTATTCAAATTTTTTCTCAATATTTACAAACTTTCTTCTTCTTCTAAGTTACTGGTGCAGATGCAATATTTTATCTTTTAAAGGGAATATTTTCTATTTCAGGCAGATTTATCTCCTATTAAATTTTGCGTAAAGTGCAATATGTAAACATTTTTTTTTATTTATAACTTCAGTATAAAGCAGACTGCAGGGGATAAAATTGATATTTTTTAATTTTAATTTTTACCATTTAATTTAATCGACTAAAGACCAACAACTAAAAATTAAAATCGACTATGGGTGCAAAGAGCCCTGGAATATACGTATATATACGTCAGTATGCAAGATTTAGTGTAGAGGGTTAATGCTTAAGATTGTATGATGTATATTGTAAGGTTCTAATTTCTCTCTGATGATTGAGCTGGCTTTTGTTTCAATCCAAGTTTGCACAGCTAAACTGTATACACTATATACTGCAGGGTGTCCCAATATTTATGGAAATTAATGTTGGCATTGAATCGTCTTTTGATTTACGGGGAATAAAATTATATTTTTTGTCCGAATTAAAAATAAAAAACCTTTCTTCACAATTACAAGAAATCTTTTTTTGTAAAAATTTACCAATTTTTGATAGAATCTCTTTAAGGTTTGATAGATTCTCTTTAAGGTTTGATAGAATCTCTTCAACCTTTAATAGAATCTCTTCAATCTTTGATAAATACTCTTCAATTTTTGATAAATACTAATCAACCTTTAACAGAGAATCTTTTCAATCTTTGATAAATACTCGTCAATCTTTGATCAATACTCGCCAATCTTTGATAGAATCTCTTTAATCTTTGATATCATAAAATTTTGATACAATCTCATGAATCTTTAAAAGAATCTCTTTAATTCATCTAAATAGTTAAATCATCCGACTATCATGCAGGAGTGAATAAAAAGTTTACATTCGTATCTCATTTTCATATATCATGGGACACCCGTCCCCTGTACACTGTACAACACTGTATCCATGTATCCCCTTAAAAAAACATGAGCGAGGTCATAGATATTCATCTAGGCAAAATTCAACATTTTCTTCGCAACCCAGCCATCCCCCCCTCCCTCCCTGCAACTTAAAGTTATATTTACATTTTACAGTTTTATTGTAAGACAAATGAGAGTTAATTTATACTGGCAGAATTTGAATAAATAAAAACTAAATTCAAGAGTAAAGATGTATTGTGTATTTGTAAATAAAAGAAACCCATAAAACTTTAAATTAAAAATTTTAAAAAAATAGAGCAAATTCTAGATTTTTTTGTCTCTATCCTGCTTCACTTAAATTAGGGGGTTACTTTAAATTTAATACGTGCAAGATGAATGCAAACTTAATGTGTTTACTTTATTTTAATCTATGATCATGGAGTCCATAGTGTAGTATCCTCTACCATATTTATTTTGGAACGCCAAAAGAGTTATATTTATAAGTCTTAACATGTACTGCTGAAAGTCCCATGTGAAAAGTCCCATGTGAAAAGTCCCATTTGAAAAGTCCCATGTGAAAAGTCCCATGTGAAAAGTATTACCATTTTAAAACTTTATTTGTATAGGATTATTTCCTTGTTTGGTAAAAATATCTTGTTTTAAAATATGCTTATTATGTATAAATATAAAGTAGTATTCTCTGTTTGTTTGTATCCCCGATCATAACTCATGAAACCCTGGACTGATAAGCCTCTAATTTTAATTGGAGAACGCGGTATAACCACAGAAATGTTCTAAGCTTTGAGATTCTAAATTGAGTGAGTCGACTGTTATAGGGAAAAGTAGCTAAAATCACAATTTAAGACCAAGCGCGGGTAAACGGCTGGAGAAACTATGATTAACCTGGGCAACGCTGGACTCCCAAACTAGAGAATTATGTTATCTTTAGAATTTCAATTTTGTGATCCTTTTCCCATTATTGACAGTCTACTGCCCATAATAAGTTTAAACAAAAGTGAAATTTTTCCACTAAGATTTTTTAGCAAGTTTTTATTTATAAAAAACTTCTTTTCTCTTGAATTTCTTATAAAGATTTTTAAAACTTTATACTGATGATGAATAGTTTACTTTCAGATCATGATGTTAAAAGAGCTCAAGGTCTTTTTTTTGTTGGCAACTAATTATTTTCATAGCACTTTTTGCAACAATTAAAATACAATTACAGGCTTTCAGGGCGCTTCGCGCTCATCTTCTATTTAATGTTCTCTTTGATTAAATTGAAAAACAAAACAAAACAAAAAATTCAGGATTTCAACAAAAAATTTTGTGAATTTTTAAAATTTTCAAAATTTAATGAAAATCAGTTTTCGATGGAAGCAAATTTTTTAAAATTTTGCTCAATCATAAACCTTCACTGGTGCCACGTGAGGTCCCACACAAAATTTGAGCCTGATCGGTTCAGCCGTTTAAGACGTTTATTGAATACAAACAAACAGACTGACAAGCTAAATTTATATAAAGATTGAGATAATTCTTTTTCAAACTGTACGTACCCCAACCTTTTTTCTATTTTTTTTTTCTCGGGGGCCCCCCCCCCCCCCTCCACTCTTTCTTATAATACTTTTCTCCTACTTATCAGACTGGGTTACCCACAAAGGATTATACTGTAAAGACGACTTGACAATCTAAAATGCTATGATCCCAGCTAGAGTTTAATTCAGACTGCTGTCTTGAATGTACTCTTCTATTCGTTTATTTTAATGATTTAGAAAGAAAGATACAAGTAAGGAAGTGAGGGTTATTATAAATGTATGGAAACAACTGGGTAGATTCCGTACAGTCGTCTCTGAAGTCTTAACCTTTACAGGAAATCCTGTATCAAGATTCAAGATCCCCCCCCCTAGAACCTTTTTTCTGAATTATGTTAGATTCCCGGCCATACATAACCATAATTCTAAATCTTTTACATCAAGATCCCTCCCCCCCCCCCCCCACCCAAAATCACCCTTATATTCCCCCATGACCCCGGGCTCCCTCGACTGTTTACCAATACTAGAGTAGTAATAAGCTTGTATAATTAATATGTGGGAGGTCAGAAACCGGAATGAAGGAGGAAACATGATTATGTGATGTCTCAAAGGGATGAAGGGGGTGGATTCAAGGTTCAGATCAAGGTATGTATACTAAAGGTAGGGGATGGAGAGGATGGATTCAAGGTTTAAATCAAGGTATGTATGCCTAAGGGTAGGGGATGGAGAGTGTGGATTCAAGGTTCATATCAAGGTATGTATACTAAAGGTAGGGGACGGAGAGGGTGGATTCAAGGATCAGATCAAGGTATGTATAATAAAGGTAGGGGACGGAGAGGATGGGTTCAACGTTTAGATCAAGGTATGTATACTAAAGGTAGGGGATGGAGAGGTTAGGTTCAAGGTTTAGTCCAAGAAATGTTTACTAAAAATATTTAAAAAAATTCAATTATTATTGTTATGTAATTACCAGCAATCCTAATACACAATAGTCAAACGTGTTCACAAAGCCTTTTCCCTTACCCTTCATTTTACATTCCTTAGTTTAGATGAAAGGATGATCAGAAGAAAATATCATTAAAGGGGGTGGGGGGAGGGCGGGGGAGGGAAAGGGATCTTTACAATAATACAAAAACAACAAAGTGTATTTAAATAAATATTGCAGTTATGATGAGATTTTTGTTCTCACTTATCCAATAGAGCGCTAATCTTAAATTTCTAAATTTGATGATACATTGTTATATTTTAAAACTAGACTTTTTTATCTTTCAGAATTCATTTATAAAAAAGTAATGGTGTACAAAATCAAGGGGCTAAGATATAAGAATTAGACTTAAGTTTGAGTAATCAATTCAATTGAGAATATATTCCATCTTAAAATACAGATTGCATCACATATCAAGATTGTATCATAAATTCAAGATTGTATCCTGTATTCTGTGTATTCACCTGTATTGTGTGACCGCAAGGCGAGTATGAGAGGAACTAGCTGCTCTGAAGCTGTCAGGACACTACCTGCCCGGACTACGCTGTTTATCTATCTATCTATCTATACATCAATATATCTATCTATCTATCTATCTATATATCTATCTATCTATACATCAATATATCTATCTATTAATCTATCTATCTATCTATCTATCTATCTAACTATCTATATTATTAACCCTATTCCTGCTGGGGGGGGGGTCAATTTGACCCCCCCTGTAGTTTTTTTTAAATAACTCAAAAAGTATTGGTCTGAGGCTGTTGAAATTTTCTGACTTTTCCTACATACCCAAAGCCCTCCCTTTAGGCCTAAAACCGGGCTTTAATACAAACTGCCTGAGTCCTCAGGCATACTGCCTGAATGACTGTTTTAACAAACTAAATCTTTGTTTTGACCCACTTCCACTTGTCAGATTTTGATAAAATTTAGCTTTTTGGAAAGCCTTTGACATAACGAAACGAATTGCACAAGTTTTGCGACAAAAATTGCAAATTTTTTGCAAACAACCTGTCAAAAGAAATTTGCACATTTTTAGTTTTTCTTGATTAAAATTCAGGTTATTTAAAATTTTGCAAAAATTTTTGCATATTTGAAATGGCATGGTCAAGGGCTTTTCAAAAATTTATACTTTTTCATTTTTTGGACAAATTTTTTTTGCAAACATTTTTACTTTAAAACTGGATTTTTCTATAATAACTTCAATTTTTAGCAATTTTGCAATTTTTTTTTGCAGATTATAAAAGTAAAGCACAAGAGCTTTCCAATGATGTATCATTTGTCATATTTGGACATCAAACATGGAATTTAGAGGGGGGGGGTCAAATTGACCCCCCCCCCAGCATATCCTGGTTTTCAAGTACCCCAGCAGAGATAGGGTTAACTAATTAAAACTCGCACTCACAGTATTTTGTTTTCAAGAGTGCACTTGAGAGGTGAATATCTTTGACCCGTAACTCTGCGGGGATATTAAATTTCAGGGGTACTAGAAGGTCAGAGCAGAGAATACAGTGCGTACCAGAAAACAAGCTTAACAGGAAGACGACTTCTAGACTCAACTTTCAATAGTCCAATTACCCACTCTTGTATGCCGAGTCTATTAACGACCAATCAGGGTTCAGTCATGTGTTTGTTGTTTATTCTGAACCAATAGAAAAAGTACGGCGGTAACATCTAGATCTTTCTATCTATCTCATTATCCAATTAGAGATCAATCCTTATATCGGCGCTACACACTAAACGGAAATATTTAGTTCTACCAAAAATATAGTGGATCGTGAGGCACACTAATAAGGATCTCAGGATCTCATATCAGTGTTTTATTCAGTTACATGTAGCACTATGTGCTTTATAACAATATTAAATACACTTAAGTGTTGCTGTACTGTCGTCTTCCTATTTCGCAATTTTCTGGTTCTTACTGTATTAAGGGTTCTTTCCTAAATATTTCATGCATGTTGCTAATGCAGCAAGTTCTAAAATTCTATCAAAATAAAACCATTTCAACAAAAAAAATACTTCTTTTCTTTCATATTTTTATGTTTGTTGGCGAATGTGTTTTTAAAGAAAAAGTATGAGAAGACTTTGTAAATTTAATGATTGATTATTTTGACCAGATTTCTCTGAATTTTTTAAAAGTTTTTTTGGGCCTTCTGTAAATGCAAATACTTTTTCCAATTTGCCTTTTTGGTTTGTTTTAAAACTATGAATCATTTTTTCGAGTAAAAAATATCCAAAACAGTTATTCAAACTTCCTGTGTCAACTGTATTATATATTATGCATCCCAAAACTTTTATATTTGTCATTTCTTTCAGTACAAAACATTATTAACAGATTATATACAGAAAAGAAAATATGCTAATACAACATCTTTTGGGAATTTTACAAAATTTAAAACTTTGAATAAAATAGTTTTGAAAAGTATTTGAAATTACAGGAAATTACAGATTTCATATAGCAGCACCGAGTTTAATGAAATCAAATTTTTCTTAATCTTTGAACCGGCAGTACGTGGATTTAACGGTTCTGTCAATATTTCAGAAATCTGTGACTTTTGACCACAATTTGACCCATTAAACATAATTTTTTTTGCCTTTTTTTTAAATATGTTTTTGTCAACATATACATTTTGAATAAAAATGTATAAAATAAACAAATCCCTAAGGTAAAAGATGGTTGAATTATAGACCAAAACACGTTTGATTTCAAATAGAAGAAACCGATTGCTGTTTACTGGTTAGCCTGGGGTGGCAGTAGATAGTTAAGTGACGCATCTCTCAAAGTTCATCACTTCGTATCAAGAACCAAGAACAAGTATGTTTGACATGAGCTATAACAAAAATATCAAACAAATAAATCCTATGACTAAATTATCACTTTTTAATACAAAAGTCTATGCAAATATGATTTTAGATTGTTATACTGCAGTCCATGCAGTTCACTTTTTTTCAAAACTCAAAATCTTCTAGAGGAATTTAAAAATATAATTATGAAGATGAGAAATTTTGAAAAAAATAAAATGATGATTATGATGAGGATGAGAATAAGTATGAGGATGAAAAAGATGATGAGGATGAGGATGAGGATGAGGATAAGGATGAGGATGAGGATAAGGATGAGGATGAGGATGAGGATGAGGATGAGGATGAGGATGAGGATGAGGATGAGGATGAGGATGATGATGAGGGTGAGGATGAGAATAAGGATGAGGATAAGAAAGATGATGAGGATGAGGATGAGGATGAGGATGCGGATGAGGATAAGAAAGATGATGAGGATGAGGATGAGCTCAACTAGAATTTGGTAAAGTAGGAAGCACTGCAGATATATTGCCAGGCTAGGTTTATTGTATTGTACCATAAAATTCTCCAAGCTAATAATAACAATAATAAACGATGTTCTCCTTTCTCTTTTATTTGAAAAGTCAAGATAAGTAAAACAAACTTTAGCGAAGAAAACATATGCGATTTATTTTAAGGCAGAATTGTAGGATGGGGGGGGGGGGGGAAAAAATAAAATCTTGTTTTAAATCAAATCAAAACAAATATATACCATATATGAAACATTTTTAAAATTTTGCTGATTTGTTTCTACAATTGATATTGGTTAATAGCACAAATAACTATCCAGGGTGGTGGTAAATTGTTGCTTCACCCCCCCCCCCCCACCACCAAAAATATATATATATTATAGTTCCAAAAGTCTAAATATGAAACTATAGAATTCCTAACAAATCTATAGAGACAACCAGAGGGATACTGTTTCATTTACACATTTGCAAACTATACTGTCTAACTTCTAAAATAAAGAAGCAATATTCATTTGGTTGTCTTTGTTGTCTTGTTGGAGGTTTTGTCCTTATCGTTGGAGTGCTAAATGGAAACCCCTTAATATCGAAAACCCTTAAGATTTTAATTGGAGATTCCAATATCTTCACTAGAGACCAGCTAGCTATCTTTTAGGAAACCTCCAACACTTTTTTGTAAACACTTTTTTTTCGACGAAAATCTCGCATTTTTTGCGCATTTCGTCCTAATGCAAAAATTTCGTCCTAATGCAAAAATTCGCGAAAAAACACATGCGAATATTTTGGTGAAAAAATGCAAACATTTTGCGTAAAAAATACGGAAGAGAAATTTTTAATTATGGTATGATAAAACTTCTATTGCTGATCTCTCAAAGCAGAGAATTCCTCAAGTTTTTTGGCACAATTATGGTTTCCTCGGAATAAATTTTTGCGAAAACAATTTTCGAGAAATTTCACATCGTTTTTGCATTTTTTCGGTGATTTCTTTTTTGCGAAAAGTTTTGGAATACAAACAAAATAATCGCATTTTTTTGTAATAGTTTTGTTCGCTAAAACCTTTTAGAATCTATATAATCAAACATATAATCTCATATAAAATCTGGGAGTCTCTGATGAAATAGAAGTGGGAGGAGAACAGAGTAAATCTCCGAAAAAAATCAGTGGGAGTCTGAAAAGAAAGTGGGTCACCGATAAAATGCTTGTGGCTTAAAATCACTCCATCGATGATGAACTCTTTCCATAAAGACTTGCCAAATATTGAATTTTTGGTATTAATTGAAATTTTTTTGTTTACTTTTCGGTTAGCTTGCACATATTTTGAAATCTGATGATCTAAAGCAAAAACTTTATTGGATGAGTTCTTGAGAAAGGAAAAGTTCCAAGAAAAGCATAAAAAAACATTGTTTTGGGTTAAAATTCATGCTAATCAGTTAACGCTGTTTTATTAAACTTTTTTTCTGTATTGAGTTCAAGTTTATGTTTCTAAAATCCTTGTCAATTGATTTTGTCTCGTTTTAGGACATTTAGGTCAAGTTTTTATTGCTCTTAGGTTACTAAAACATCCCTGTAGTAAACACCTACTCAATTAACAAGGTCTCGAAACGTATCTATCCAGATACAATCCATCCGCTAACAAACTTTACCAGGACTGAATCTCATGCTCTAAATGCCACAAGCGTAGCTATCAAAATCCAGTACTAATACAGTGTTCTGCCAGTATAGAATCCCAGGCTCTAAATGCCACAAGCGTAGCTATCAAAATCCAGCTACTAAGCCAGTGTTCTGCCAGGATAGAATCCCTGGCTCTAAATGCCACAAGCGTAGCTATCGAAATCCAGCTACTAAGCCAGTGTTCTGCCAGGATAGAATCCCAGGCTCTAAATGCCACACAGGGACACAAGCGTAGCTATCAACAAGCTATTTATATATCGATTCCAAATGATAGGAAGAATCCAATGTTCTAAATGTCACACAGGAGCGCAATCCACATGGCTACAATTCCATGAACTGTCAACGCCACTACATCTTGTTAGCTGATGTCAGCACAGACACTAGCAATCAATTGATCAATGTCTCAAACAGGACATGATCCACACAGCTACAATCCCGTGACTAACCACCGCATCTACACAGGTTACGATCTTGTTAGCTATCAATGTCATTACAGACACTAGCATTCAATTGATCATTGTCTCAACCAGGACACAATCCACATGGCTACAATCCC